AGAACCCGGCGTGCTCCGTTCCGGCTTTGTAGGAATGCGAGTTCAATGGTCGAACGACTATGGCATGCACGACTATGAGTACACCCCCCCCCCCCTGGGTGAGGGGAATTTTTTTTTTCACATGCATGGGGCCTCGCAGAAAGGACAAAAATCATGATAGTCAACATTTTTAAAAGGAGGGGGATCAACCTTATGGACACCTCCTTGGGTTTAGCCTACTCCACGACTGGGTGGAACATCTCCCAGAAAAAAACACGTGAATCAAATTTGGCTTGCAATCATCACTCGATGTGTCGGTCGTGTTTTGGTCTCATTTTATTACGCACATAATCGTATCCGTTGTTGTTTTGTTCTGGTTAGTTTTTGGGACGTCAAACTGATGTTGATGTGTGTCTGGTGTATATTTTCGATACTCCATTCTGACCCTAACTCTTGGGCCCGTTTGGTGATCAATACTATCCCCAATTCCTTATCGTGAACATCGTCCCAACCTCCGCCCCGGCCGTGGTATCTGCACGCACCCATCCGCTCCGCTGCAGCAGATGATGCCACAGCAGCAGCAGCAGCAGCAGCAGAACGGCCGCCCCGGCATGGGAGGCCCGCAGAATCGGATGGGGGTACCGTCGCCGCAGAAGCCACAGCCTAAGGTAGATCAATACAAGTTGTAAATAATACTTGGCAAGTATCATAATATTAGAGATTTGGGACCCAGCGTGGCTTCCCCACGTTGCGTGGTCCCTTGTACCATCCGCTAGCGATTAGAAATACACGTGCATTCGCGTGTACGGACTGCGCTACAGTATGGCAAAAACCATCGAAGCGGATATGGTCGAAGTCTTTCACGACGGAGTGTGGTAGAAGTATATGCATGCAGCATGTGGCTGATGTCTTGCGCTCATGTACGCGCCTGTGGATTGACTGATTCGAAAAAGTGCTCTACGTCCGTGCAAACGAATGTACGCGCGTGGTTGTGGATTAGTTGCTGTCGCTGACCTTGCCCGTACAATCTCCCGCTGCCGGCTTGTGTGCTTGCTCTCTGCGGTTCGGCAGGCGATTACGGAGGTGACGGCGAGACACATCCTGGTGAAGCACAAGGGGTCGCGACGACCGGCCTCCTGGCAGGACCCCGCGGGGGCGTCCATCAAGCAGAGGTACACACCCTTTAGTAGGGACCGCCTTTGCGCGAAATTCAGTATTATAATTAGTATTATAAGTAATACACATGGAGTAACAGTAGTACAGTAGTAGGAGTAGGAATAGTGGTCGACGTAAGTCGTAGCAGTAGTTTAAGAGAGGTTGGGGCAACCCAGTATTTCTCTCTTAAATCCGGTTTTTGCAACGGTTTAAGAGAGGGTTGGGACAAGTCAGTATTTCTCTCTTGAATCCGGCTTTCTCTTCAACCGTACTGTGAAATGTTTATATTTCTCATGTTCGTGACAATCCAGTTCAACTCTCTTCAAGCGGTACTCTTTCTTAAATCGCAGCCACCACTTTACATTAGAGTTCAAGTATATAGTACCTCAAAGTAATAGGAGTAGGAGTTGTGGTCGAATAGGTGTGTTCCTATCTGGTTCGTTTTTAGGTTTTTTATGATTTCTGACCCCGGGCTCCCTCGTCTACACGTTCGCGTGATGCCTCTATTTTTATACTTGGAGTTGGACCCAGGCGCAGGCGACATCCAGCCTGCAGGTCCTCCGTGTTTTTTTTTTTATCGACCCTTCTCATATACGGCTCTATCGGCTCTCCTTGCATACATATGCATGTGTACACGTCTGCCCCCGACATTTTGTTCTTTGTTTGGTAGGACCCAGGCGCAGGCGGCATCCATTCTGCAGGGCCTCCGTTCCGGCATCAAGAGCCAGGAAGACTTTTCAAAAGTTGCCACGGCCAGGTCTGACTGCTCGAGCGCCAAGCGCGGCGGCGACCTCGGCACGTTCGGCCGTGGCAAGATGCAGGTGCGAACCGGCCCTACCTGGCCCCCCGATGTGACGATCTTTGTTTGGCTCTACGGACGGATGGAGATTATTTTTTGTACGAGTGCCGAATTGTCGCCCCTGGGAACAGTATGTGTAAAGTGAACGTCGAATATTTACCCCTCGATGCGTGGTTTCTCTCTCTGTCTCTTTCTCTCTCTCTCTCTCTCTCTCTTTCTCTATCTTTACGGACGGTTTGGCATTATATTCAACGAATGCCGTCTTGTCAGCTTGGATGTAGTGATCTATTTCCTCCCTTTCTCTCTCTCCGAGGACAGATGGGGAGCATATTATGAATAGGATGAGCACCAACCCCTCGATGTGTATTCTGTCGCGTTTCGGACGGATTGATATTTTTAGAAATATTTATCGAATTATCACCCACTCCATGTACCGGGTCGGGATTACAAAATGGGCCATTCTGCTCACCCCCGGGCGTGATCTGTCACGCTACGGTCGGATGGGGACTAAAATTGTGCCCACTACCATCCACGAGAGACTTCCTTGTGTGCCGTGTGCGTTGGATTTTTTTTTGGTGGCAAGTGCCCGTCCGCATGTGCAATGGCGGGCGTGAGCGTTATTTCCGAACATGACCAGAATTTGTGTATACCCAAGGGTCAAGTGAGAGACTACTAACTCCCTTGTTTCGGAGCCACGACTGTTGCAGGGTTTTGTTGAAAAACTACTGCAGGTATTCCGTAGTAAATTATACCTTTTTTTTGTTTGCGCGCTGCGCGTCACCGAAACTGGAAATATAAGAACAAACCAAAACCGGAAATCAATAGAAACGAAAGCAAAACACACCCATCCATGCTTGTTCTTATGATGGGGCTACGCATGTTTCCCATTCTATTATCGAAAAATTGGAATAGAGTGATGCAGGTGGCATTTAAAGCCTACTGTATTCAGGCTGTCCGTGTTTCGGTAATGTTGGATTCCCACGACCGATGTTTTGGCTCCTCTGATTCATTGGGTTTATTGACTCCTCTTGGTTTACCTCCCTACGTGGCGGCTACGGTGTAAGAGAGACTATTTGAGAGAAAGTACCGATTTAAGAATGTTAAACTGGCTTGTCACGACCATGAGAAAAACATGAATTTTCACATTGCGGCTTCAGAGAGAAACGGATTTAAGAGAGAAATATTGTCTTTTCACGACCCTCTCTTAAACCGTAGCCGCCACTGTACGTATATGCGGGAGTATGTACGGCGTACCAGTAGGACTTAGCAGCAGGCTCAAGACCTACTCGATTGAAGTGTTCATTTCTACCAAAACAAAACAAAAACATGTTGCTCAGCACCCACCGACTTGTGTGCCGGCAATCACTGAAGCCGATTGAGAAGACCTCGGGTGTACTGTGCTTATATTTTTGCGTCCCCATAACAGAGAACCACAAATATCTCAAAACAACACACACAACTCACGCGCAATCTTCACAAATTCAACAACAGTATTGTAGTAGAAAAAAAAACAGTCACACGAGCACACACGGTTGTCTTTAGAAGGACAACGCAGGTTGATGACAAGACGCAAACTGATATTTTAACAACATTGTACCATAAAAAACAACACGATCCACACAGTTATTTCTAGAAGAACAACGCAGGTTGATTGTTGGATCTGCGGTCAACGTCGATCAACGTCACTGAACCATGGCTTTTGGTGTGGCGGAAGGACACGCTAGAAGCTTGCAGAACGGCGGCCACCGCAGGACATTTGGGTATCTTGCGTGCGTGTCATTTTACTTGCATCGACCGCGCTAGCCGCGTAAACAATGGGAATGTAATACTTCAGTCTTAATGCGGTGGAAAACAACACTGCTTCTATTGGCCATGATCTGGGACCCTGTGACCGGGTGTCATTGGAGAGTCGATGCTGCTCTCCAGGTTGAAGGCAGATACCGTCGCAATATCAGACGAAACGTTGTGTGTGTGGAGCTGAACGGCCCGTCGCAGGCAGGCGGCACGCTTCCTACGCCGAAGAATTATTTTATTTCGCGTGTCCCACCAGCTATCGGTCAATGACGGCAGCCACAGCTAGAACACAACGGTATGCAAGCGTGTTGGCCACATTTTTTTCAATCGTTTTACCCATCGATGTGAAGCTCAGGATATTGATACATGTGGCATATTCACAAAGTGCACGCATACATGCAGAGTATAGATCTGTGCGATGTGTGAAACTGGATCAATGTTGTTCCACGGATCACGCAACTCTCGTCATTTTTAACAGGGGTGAACGGGCGAGGAGTCTTTTTAGTGTGTGTGTTTAGGGTTCGTCCTACTTATGATGGCGACAGTGCCCCCATTTCTGGTGGTCAGACGTGGTCGGTGTATGTTTTCGTACTATACAACTACAACCATCCAGAAGGTTAACACCAGGGCTTTTTATTCTTTTGAACTTTTTTTTTTTGTGCCCCACCTTCGTCCTGCGGTGCGTGCTATTTTTTTATTTTATCGCGCGAAAAGGGTCCAGCCGTCCCTTTTCCTCGTCAACGGTGCTAGCGTCGGAGATTGGTACTCACGAGAGCTTTTTCGGCTTTGTTTCGCTTTCACCCGCACCTCTTGGATTTTTTTCATCCCTATGGGGATTCGAGAAAACGACCTCTTGCGACTAGCGGCTTACGATGATACCATTAACACCACCGGGGCGACCAGCGGTAGAGCGGTAAGAGACTTGAAGATGAGTCCACGAAGGCTTGCCCAACTCTCTACGCCACCCTATATACCGTAGGTTGCATACGGGAGCACATCCCCTGGGCCGATTTTCAAAGCTCGATTACTTTACGACGAAGAGGATGCCGCAATTCAAGTATTCGTTTTCGGAAAGGTCTCGACGAGAAGGTTCTAAGGGCACTATTTTTGGCACCGTCACTGCTTCTCCGAGCGATTTTTCGAGCTTCCAAAAGCGGTCCTTATGATCTGATACCTTGTGCCACGATCATAGCTTGGCTGCGTTCGCTCGGTTCCGCTTGGCATTCCATTCGGTTCCATGGCAACTTTTAAGCGTTTCATCGCCACCTTCGACAACTGTTTGTGTGATGTCACCTGGTAGAGTTTTGAGTGCAGGGTCCACCGCTTGGCCGTGACTCTATAACCCGATTTTTTTCCCTTGGCGAAAATGTGATCCTTGTTCCCGTGGACGAAAAATTCGATTGCTAAGTTACAGGCCCTGTATTACAATTGTGAACAATTTGTTTTCTCCTATATTGCAAACAAGTTCTCTGAATGTTAAAAACGAAGACACACATGACCTAGCCCCAGGACGTTGTCCGCAGAGAAATAAAGATAAATACCCTGAGCAGTCTGTTTAAGGTGACGCTTTCTTCTCACGGTATTTCAAATGGCATGAAAGCATTACGTCGGTTCCTTGCAAAGCCGGGCGATAAATTTAAGTACGAATAATGCCGTTGTATCCCGATCCATACATGTATCCTAACCACATCAAACACAGGTGGCGGTTGGCCGCTCTAGGCACACTTCTTGGCCGCATTTGGACAGTATTACTAGGTATTCGGAATACGTGCGCGCAGCCCACACTGAACGGGTTGGTACCCTAAAAGGGCGATCGGTGGGCGAAAATATGTCGCCTGCCTACCCTCTTTATTTTACAATCCATTGCTACGCTTAAGTGCCAGGTTTTGGTGGCGTTGGGTGCAAAAAATAACGTGAATCGTTTGGCGTGCAACGAAGACATTCGACTGAAAGCGCCTACCGTCACCTACGATATACGGTGAACGTGCCGGCTATGCTGTGATTATACCCATGCATGGTGAGGTTGTATCCCCACGCGTACGTTGGGAAGGAACGCGCGGGCGACCTCGGCAAGACTGTCTTTCGCATTCATTCAATCCTTTTAAACAGAAGGTGTTGTATTTGTTCGGGCTTCCGCCCTGTCCTGAGCAGTAGATCTTTACATTTGGGGCTCTCATGGTGAAAAACAAAGACAAAAACCCTGCCAAAAAGAACAAGAAGGTTGAACTACTCACAAACAGTAAGAAAATTGGTCGAGAAACACAGTTTCGGGCCTTCATGGTGAACAAAACAAAAAGCCGCCAAGAAAGAAACGAGAAGTTGAACTAATATTCACGAACTGTAAGTTAGTTTGGTTGAGAAACACAGTTTCGGGCCCTCATGGTGAAAAAAAACAACGAAAGCCGCCAAGAAAGAAGAGGTAAAACTTTTTTCCAACATGGAGAAAATTTGGTTAAGAAACATAGCCGAGGGATCCTACCTACATCAATATGAAATAAATGGAACTATTCACGAGCAGTAACAAAATTTTGTTCATAAACACAGCCGAGGTATCCCACATTAATATGAAGTAGATGTGTAACCTGTGCTTGATGGCGAGTTCGTAGTATGGAATTTTGCGTCAACCCGTGGTGTGCTTTTCTCCAGGGCGACTATTTTTTGCGCTTTTTCTTCCTCGTTATTATCAGGGGCGGGCAGACTTCATCGGCTGGACATTTTCGCCGATTTCAGAACATGGAAACACATTAAATGAAGGGAAGACCCGCCCGCGCACAAGTACTGTGTGGTAATGATATAGAACCTTGACCTTCACAAGCCCAACTTAAATAAATACAACCACTATAATATGTTTTTTGTTTGATTGTGTTTTTTAAACTTCAAGACAACTCACAAATTGTGTCCACCACACGTCTCTTGGTTTTGCCCGAAGCTGTTTTGTAACGGCGAAAACGATCCCGTTTGAAAACATCGTCATTGACAATCGCCGTGGGTACCGCAAGTTAAAAAGGTGTAACGGCGTTTTTTCCGTACAAAACGCAAGATTATTTTTTCGACGAAAACTTGCCGGCACCTCACATGCCGTTGCTCACGAATGGGCGGTGGTACATCGAGAGAGATGGCATGCCTCATGCGGCTCATTGTTTCCGAGAAGGCGCAAGTGTGCTGGAAATGGAAAACATCCCTGCATAGCGACCGGAAATATACGGTTTGGAGAACGAGGAGATTTCCTCACGGACCCCTTACCTTATCGTCAAGCGTAACGATCTTCCGGTGCCCACCATTCTGAGTGGCAGATACGGCGGGCCCATACCCACAAAATGAATGACATCCGCATACTTGTACTTTTTTGGAACGAGCCGCTGTGTTTGGAAACGTTCCAATTGGCATCCGCTACTCGTAATATTTATAACGAGTTGCTATGTGTGTGAAAACGTTCCGAGTGATGTTTTGGCCTTGGCTGTGTGGAAGTTCAGACACCTCCTCGTGGCGTTGTGGTGAATGTTCGTCATGTGAATTTATTGTTTTTTTCGCGCTGAATTGCA